TGTCTGTTCTTCAGTCCCACCTGTCTCTGTGCAGTGAGGACCAGTGCTACGACCCCTGCTGCTCCCTCGGCCTGGACCTGAGCCCCAGAGCCAGCAGCAGCCAGCAGCTGCTGAAAAAGGTGAAGGACGGCTTTTATCATCATGGTTATTGTACGAAAAAACAAATGACAAATGTCCTGACACAGAGTATTCAGAAAATGAGCCAAGTGTAACAAAAACCATCTTGGATAACTGGAATATTTATTTTAAATAAACAAATAAAAAGCTTAGGGTAAAAGAAATTAATTTTTCATGATAAATATATATCAGCTATTGTGGATAAACACATTTAAGAATGTTATACACAAAAATTGTGCCCCACATTTTTTTTTTTGAATACTAGTAACAGTACCAATGAAACGCTTTCATCGACAACAGTTTAATGACTTATTTGTTGACTGAAAGCGGTCATTATCGCAGGACACAGCTGTTTTCTCTGGTCTCTGTTCTAGTCCGTGTCAGGAATGTCAGGCTCCGGGCGTCTGCTCTGCTCCACACAGGTCTTTATTGTTTTCACAGACACCGAAGTGATGTTTCACACAGTTATTTACCTCTCAGCAAGTCCGTACCTGTGCTCTCTCCCCTCCTATCACCCCTTCTCCTGTCCCTCTGACGCGTGTCTTCCTTGATACAGGCGCCATCTAGAGGACAAACCCAGGAGAACTCTGAGGGTAAGCTGTGGGCGGCAGCAGTCGGTAGACGATTTAGAAGTTTCATCTGGAGATCGTTAAATATTCTTTTTTTGTTTTTCTGATTCTTTACAGATTCCAACTCGGAGGAGAATCTTCTCATACTATCTGTGAGCACCGATGGAGGGAGACAGAAAAACAAGGAAACAAATATATATAAAAATAAACAAATAATATTTTTCTTTATTTTCTCCACCCTCAGTCAGAAGTCAATGAAAAAGAAATCAATCGACTTTCAACATTTCCCTTCCCTCCTTGTATGAACTCGATCAACCGACGTTTCCACACAGAGTGAGTTCACGACTTTGACTCAGACCTGAAGTCCCAACCTCGTCACCTTTGACCTGATGAACTCTCTTTATTTTCTCTCCCATGTCCAGGTTTGACCTGGACTCTTGGGGCAGTGATGACAATGATAATGTGACTGGTACTTGTCTCTTATAAATAATAATAATAATAATAATGTGTGAATGTGAATTATCTCTGGAAGTCATCATTAAAACCATGAAGTTGTATAAAATCATGTTCTGTTTCAGGGGTTCAGACTCAACCCTGTTTGTGGGACTCCTGGAACTCCCTGCACTCTCAACCCTTCCCACCGGACCTGGTCAACACGCCGGTACTGTCCTCGCAGTTGTCCAGTCAAAGTCTTCCCAGGTGCAGTTCCAACATATTCAACACAGATTCACAATGACTTTAACAATAGTGCAATATTAATTAGGGGCTGGGGGGGTTAGTTAAAATAAATTAAAATCACTTCAGGGTGACTATGACTTTTAGCGTATACAAAGTGAAAACTTCACATGAATTAGATGCTAATTTGCTCCAGGATTTTGACAGTGATTCTGTTCCTGAATGCACACAGTTAATTTTTCTTCCTTGTCTTTTCAAAACGTTCCCCTCAATCTCCGTCCTCCAGTCCCTGCACCTCACCCAAGCCTGGGAAAGCCAGTCTGGCTGATGACATCACCATAGTCGGAGGAAACCTCACTGGGATCTTTGTGAGCCACGTCAGATCCGGTTCCCCAGCGGAACAGTGTGGTCTGAAGGAGGGCAGCGAGCTGCTGGAGGTGTGTGTCTGTGGATGATAATCTGAAGCGAGCTGCTGGAGGTGTGTGTCCGTGGTCGATAATCTGAAATATTTCATAGATTATATATATTTTTTGACATGCATAGACATCTGAAAAACTCCTGCCCTCATGTTCTGGTGTTGTCCAGCTGGAGCAGGTTCTGTCCAGTGGTGGTAGTGTCCTGCTGGGTCAGTGCACTGCAGAAGTGGCTCACTTCTCCCTGCAGTGGTGGACTGAGCCCCAGTCCCTCAAACACAGGACCAACCCAGAGAGTGAGTTCCTGACCAGTGAGACTTTTTTTTTTTTTTTTACTTCTTCGTGAACTTGAACTCACTCCCTGCTCTGCTGTCATCAGGTTACGCCCAGCTCTGCTCCCAGCTCTCCTCGCCCACCTTCATGGGCGCTGACTCCTTCTACGTGCGTGTGAATCTCAACATGGAGCCTCACGGCGACTCGCCGTCTCTGAGCTTGTCATGTGACGACATCATACATGTCACGGACACGAGGTACCATGGGAAATACCATTGGCACTGTTCAGTGGTGGACCCAAACACTGTAAAGCCCCTGCAGACAGGAACCATGCCCAACTATAACAGGTAACAGTTAGAAGTACATTATATTGAATGAGTTTAAATTTTAAAAAGTTGTTAATTATTTATTTCAAATTGGCTTAAAAGAATTCCTACCTAGCGCATTTTACAGGCGCTTTTTTTCTTTTGGTTTGTGACTTATACTAAGGTGTGACTTATATATTAAAATATATAATTTCACGTTTGTTATTTTCACACTGACAGCCACTAGAGGGCACTCTAGCTTGGTGGTGCGACTTATGCGACTCTTGAGTGGCTTACCTTCCTTACCTCCCTTTAGGAGAAATCTGATTTCTAACAACTATCACTTACAGCCACTAGAGGGCACTCTAGTTTGGTGCGACTTATCACTTGTTACAACTATCACGTTACAATCTTTTTTCATTATATTTAATTAATTGTTACTATTTATTTTTTTTGATCAATTTTCCCAAAACCTCAAAACCAAGCCAAATTATGAACCTATCTAAATGTAATTGTACTCGTATCGCGAGTCATGTTTTCATAATCATGTTTTCGTAACTTACATGAACTTAGAATAAACTTAACTTTTTTTTTTTTTTTTTTTACTTTTCAATAAAGCGAAGAAGCGGGTTGTAACCTGCTGCATGACATCCCCCGGAATTCCACACTAAAGGAATTCTCCTGAGGAAACTCAGCTCACAGAAGAGTTTAGGCTTAAAACTTAGGCTTTAAGGATTTTTAAGAGAAATCACTTTGTTGTTTTCATCAATTAAAACCATTACAAATTCGACTTTTTAACTAATTTGAGGTAGTTTTGTGAACCGTCTGCCCTGCTGTGACATCATTAACACTGTGTTCCACATCAGGGCACAGCAGCTGTTACTGCTGAAGCTCAGGAAAATAGCCCTGCAGGAAAACCACTTCACCAAGAAGATGGTAAGTCAGCAGAGGTAGAAATGACACGGGCGGTCAGTTCAACCCAACCGCTGACCAATGACTTTCCTGCGTTTCACAGTTTCACAGGAAGTCCCCTGATCGTGTACGTCTGGTCAAGGCAGTGGACCCCCACAGCCGAGGGAGTGGCTCAACACAGCAGGTCATTTACACACTCAGTAAACGTAAGTGGTTTTTTACAGTGTTCAGCCTCGATTTTGTCACAGTCATTTTATTACCTTTTAGATTTTGTTCTTAGATTTTCCGTTTCATGCACCAGTAACTTCTAAAAAGTTAAAATTTAAAACTTCATTAATGGAATTATTCTCTTCAAAAACTATATGAAGGACTGTTTAGACTTGGCATTTGAAGGAATGCTCTGTCATGGATTAGGACTGAATTTCAGCCATCAGTGATTAGAGATTCTTCCGAACTGTTGTTACCAAGAACTTCATATTAGAATAGAAATATAAGTGCGTTCTTATCTACTGCTGTGAGATCAGGATTTTACTAATACACGTAAAACATCGCTGTCTTAAGACATGTTTTCAAACCGACATTTATGTTTATCTGCGTGTTAGGCCATGAGGAACACCTGATCCCTTACAGTCTGGTGCAGCCAGTGGAGGTCCAGACCAAGCGGCCGGTCATCTTCACCCCCTCCCTTCTCTCCCACGGCCTCATCCAGAGGCTGCTGCAGCTGACAAGGTCAGATCTGACCTTTGACACCTGTGCACCAGGTATGTTGTCATAAACACAGACGGAGCTCCAAAATGCTGATGCTGAGTTCACAGAATGAATTACTATTTCTTCACTAATTTGTGTGTGTCCTGGTGTTTTTCAGAGGCAGTGCAGGCGTCAGAGAGACAAGACAAGAACTGGCTCTTAATAAATTCCTGCAGTTCAAAGCAGACTCTGGGCATACGGCTGAAGTCAATCCAGAATGTCATTGAACAGGTAATGAAGAGCTTTCCCTCCACAATATTAATGCATTTTAAACAAAATACAAATCAATTCACATTTGTCTCTTGCTTTAGGACAAACACTGTCTGCTGGAGCTGGGTGTGTCCAATGTGGAAGGCTTAATAAGACAAGGGATTTACCCCATAGTCATTCATGTCCGTCGTAAGAACAAGAAGCACAAGAAGCTGAGGTAAATGCTCGTTCATTCAATCTGCAGAGTAGAATCACATTTTTAGGATTTTTTTTTTCTGTTTCGAAAACTGAGAGAACATTTAAAAAGTGTATTATAAAGTAAGTAAGTATTAGTAATCCACTTTTTCCCCTCTTAAATTAGGAAGTTCTTTCCACACTGTGGGGAGAACAATGTCATGGAGGATGAGTGTCAGGCTGAGGAGCTGCAGCTGGAGACCCTGCCTCTGCTCTTCTACACCCTGGAGCCCAGCTCCTGGAGCTGCACTGACGAGCTGCTGGCAGCCATATGCGATATTATCCATCGCCAACAGAGGGCAGTAGCGTGGGTTGAACTGGATAGGTTGCAGTGAAAAAATGTAAACATTTCAAATGTGAGCTGGATTCACAATTTCTTTAGTACATTTTCCACTGATGTTTTGCATGTTTTATTTACTTGTTTTTTTCTACATGACTCAATTGAAACTGGTTGCACCAAACGGCTGTAGACCTGTATGCATACCTGTAGACAGACATGTTGTATTTTATTTATATAGTCAAGCTGGACTGGCTACACTGATTAAAATTGAAATGTACGCAATTTATTCTTTTGATAAGTAGCTTTATTAACATACTGTACTGACTTGTTTGGTTTGACATTTGAGATGAGACACAGGTTGCCCATTTTAAAGTCTAAACATGCAATATTTTTACCACATGCATCATAAAAATTGTTTTTAATTTGTTCTTGTTCTGTTATATGTCTTAATTTTTTCCAATTGTGTTTTTAAGGACTGTGTTGTTGGTTTCTTAACACCAGTGTTTCCCAAACATTTTTAACACACTAGTTCACGGCAGAATGGTGGGATTCACTGCTATACCCTACACCACAATTGCTTTATTAACAATAGGTTCTGTTTTGTTAATAAAAAAATATTTTCTTTTGTGTGGAAAAAATAAATGTGCCAAATGGTTTTTATTCATTCATTTATACATTTAAAAAAACAGTTTTCTAGCTGGGATAAAATGGCCGACACATGTTTTTAAAAAGCACACTGCTCTGCAGTCTACGTATATAGTTGAAAATGTTGTAAAATAAATGAATGATTAATGAACATGGAATTTCATTAGAAGGAACAATCCCGCCGTAACAGCGCAGGCAATCATTTGTTTACATCGTGTTGACATCCGGCTCCTTGTAATTGTGCGTCCTCTGGCGGACAGAGCGGGTACACGCTGTGCTCCTCCTCCTCCCCGCTCTGATCAACAAGCAGCCTGGTGATATCATGAGCTGCTAAACCTTCACAGCACAGAAGCAAAATGGCCGATAGTAAACTAAGAGATCACACAGCGTCTGACAGTCATTCAGTGCGTTCGCATGTTTCGTTTACAGACTAAATAGATTCAGCCGCGCGGAGGAGTACAAGTTTTTTTCCTCATTATTTCTTTTTTTCTACATTTTACATTTCCCTTTTCGGTGATGTCATTTCTTATTCAAATTCGCCTTGAAAGCCTCGAACAACTCGCTCGCTAGGCTAGCTGTCCTGCTAGCCAGCTAGCGGTAGGTCTGCAAGAATTTTTTTGCACAGACGCACTTTATGTCCGATGTGATTCCCGAGGTGAGTAATTAACATTTACAAAGCTCATTGATGATCCATTTAGTGACGTAGAGATACACCCACAACGCTCCACACCAGCTTAGATTTTAGCGCTTCTAAGATTGTTTTGCTGAAGAAAACGTCGTTAAAGTTGGTGGTATTTATTTGGTTCTGTCCACCATTATTATTCGCTAGCTGTCAGTGTACGAGGCTTGTCAGCGGTGCGTGTGTTGTTAATTTGAATTATATTCTGTTAAACGTCAAATTTTTTATCTCGACGTAGCGGAGCAAATGTAAGGTACGTGTTGTCCGCAGGTTAGTGCGCACAGGACCAGTGGGTCGCGGTTCGGATCCCTGGCTCCTCGGGTCACACTACACGGTGTACACAGCATCACAGGCTAGTTGTTTACCAGGGTGACGCTGGTAGCTGCGGAGTTACTACACAGCTATTCCCTGTTGGCCTGGTACTCGGTGAAACGCTGCTAAGTGTTGCTACCAGGATCGAGCCGCACAACAGCACCGAGTGTCAAGTGTGTAGCTGCTAAAACCAAAGTTCAGCTTACATTAGCGCCGTGTGACGTGATGCTAATTACGCGCAGCTTAGCTGACACACACAAACACTGGGGCCTGTGGTATTTACAGCTCTGTGCTATTTGAGATGCCTCCACTTTCCCACTGTAGCACCATCCGGTCCGTGTCAGCGTGCTGTGTTAAATGTTTGGTCGATTTGCATATTGCACATATTTACTTTAGGTGTTCCGGTATGTGGTGACGTGACGTGACGTGACGTGAGGTCGGGGCGAAGATCCACTGTCACTGCCCTGATCCCGTCATGAGCTCAAGAGTTTCACTGCCCTGATCCCGTCATGAGCTCATGAGTTAAAAGAGAAATGTTGTTGTTTTTTTTGTTTGTTTGTTTGTTTTGTTTTGAGCCAAGGTTAAGTTTGAAGTTTAACCTGCGTGTTGCAAAACGTATATAATAACACACATACAATAGGAAGACATGCTTTACTCAAAATACAATTACAAGTGCAGTGTAAGATGAAGTGGTTACTTTGGTTAGTGTGTGTTTATGTGCGTGTTCTGTCTTTTGTGATATAACTGTTTGAACAGTAGACTGTGTATATTCTACTCTGTTTAAACTGTTATCTAACACATCGACGTCTCATAAGAAACTGGTTTTTGTTGTGTAGTAATTGTAATGATATTTTGTGCACAGTGAGACACTTGTGAACCATGTGTTACTTGCAGTGTATTTGCTCAGTGTCATTTGAGCTAAACAACGATGTGTGGCTCACAGTCGCTCATCTATATTAATAAAACCAAATTCTTTAGGTTTAATGTCCAGCTCTCTAATGTCTGTAGTGCCACTGAATTTACAATAACTATTTTGTGTTACGTAATGAAACGTACACCCTTACTAATACACGAATCACTACACATCACCGAACACAATGCACGTTTCTACAGGTTTGTTCTGACCTGTGCGAGTGTTGGAACTGGACTTCAGGGTGTGTGTTGCCACTTGTCTTTGCTGTTAGAGTTTTATGTCGTTCGGAATTGCACCCGTGCGCTGGTTAATGAATTATGCAGCGACAGGCTAGGATACCACACGCTCTTGTCAGTCTGTCTGCCCCAGGTTAACGTTACACTTCGTGCCCTGACTCTGCAGGAGTAAACCCGTGTCTGTCGTCTGATAAACAACAAAAACAATTTTTGTAAATGTCGCTTTGTATCAATTTTAAAAGTTGCGTGTCTTGTTTTTCTTTACAGAAAGGAGAATCAGGAAAGGGAACAGTAGTTCATGGAAGACAAGAAAAAGAAGAAAGAAGACAAAAAGAAAAAAGAAACATCTCAAAAGGTTCCCAGTAAAATTATCTTCACTCATTTAGTCTGTTTTGTTGAGGATTTCCTCACTTTGTGTTACTTTGTATTGAAGCCTATACAATCATATCATGACTCCATCTACAAGTTGTTTTATCAGTTCATCATATCTTCTTCCTCATGCCTCACCGACTGTTCTTCCTGTTTCAGGTGCCAGAACAGAAAATCAAAGGTATGTTTCTCATTGGACACTCTCTCTCTCTCTCTCTCTCTCTCTCTCTCTCTCTCTCTCTCTCTGGTGTTATGACATGACATGACAAGGAAATATATACTTGTACCTGCCATTAATTTCTTGATCACAAATTAGCTTTGCTTCCATTGATCACATATCCGTTCTTGTTTAGTTTCTTTCTCTAACGTGTCACACCTGTGACTGTTTCCATATTTCAGTGCCAGAATCAGCCAAACCCTCCTGCTCCCAGCCCCTCTCCAGCCCAGGCTCAGTGTCCCCCAGCCCTGGCCCCGCTGCTCCCTCCTCTTCCTCAAGTCCTGGTGCAGCTGTGGTTTCTGCACAAGTCCCTCCTGGTGGCGGGAACAATGCAAAGCAGCGGACTGCTGTGGCCAACGGACAGCCCTCCTCCTCCTCCCCTTCAGGAAGCCAGCCCTCCCAACAGAGATACATGTCCAGAGAAGTTCCGCCCAGGTTTCGCTGCCAGCAGGACCACAAAGTGTTACTGAAGAGGGGCCAGCCACCGCTGTCCTCCATGCTGGTGGGGGGTGGCGGAGGGGAAGGGGGCATGGCTGGAGGCGGAGGCAGTGGATGGGCAACCACTCCACCTGTTTCCACACAAGGAGCAGATAACGCTAATGCAAGCACAGCTGGAGGTGCAGGTGGGTCTTCGTCCTAAAAAAAAAATAAAATAAAAAATACATTTAATTGTGTAACCTGAACACTTTAAGCTTTATTGTATAAAATGTATCAAATCTCTCCATTTTGCATGTAGATCCGAATCAGACCTTATTCTCCCCCTCACCTCCCAACTCCTCTCCTTCATCATGTGTTGCTGCTCTGTCTTCTTCTACTACTACTACTACTACAACTTATGCAAATTCCACTTGGGGGGCAGGCTCTGGCAGCCAGTCCTCTTCTCAGGGCTGCGGAACAGTGATTGTGGATGGAACTGACCTGGAGGAGTGGCCAAGCATCCTCGGCGGCGACAAGTTGAGTTCTGACGTGGGCGGAGGTGGGACGCAGGAGCCAGACTGCCTCGGTAACAACAACAACAGTAGTGCCTCATGGAGCGAGAGAAACATCCAGCAGAAGGGAGGAACAGCAGGAAGGGCAGAAGGAGCGGGGAACGTGGACAGTTCTTCCCCGACTCGGTCTTCTCCGCCTTCCTTCTCTTCCTCACTTAGTGAATGTGTTCAGACAAGTGATGTGTGGGGCTCCTCCACCTCCTCCCAGGTGGAGACAGGGCTGGGATCAGCAGCATTTTACAATTCCAAAGTCTCCCATCTTCTACCAGGGCCTCAGGAAGGCCCCGCGAGTGGCGGCAGCAGCAGCAGCAGTGACCCTGGTGCCAATTTGAACCCCAACATGAACCCCTCCGCCTGGCCCTGCCTGGGGCAGGGTGGGACATCGAGTTCAGCTAAAAACAGCCTTCCACTGCACTCATCCATCACTTCAGCTTCTTCATTCTCTGCCAGCACTGCCCTCATCTCCACTCATCCTCATTCATCTGTGAATCAAACCAGTCTTCATCAGCAGCACACTGACAAAGCCGCTGCAGTCCGAGGTGGAGAACCACCACCACCACCTCAGCAGCAGCAGCCGCAGCAGCAGCAGCCGCAGCAGCAGCAGCCGTCGAACCCAGGGCTGGAGCTGGGTTCAGGTGAGGGAGCAGGAGAAGGAGAAGGACCAAATCAAGAAGGTGACAACAGTGGGGGCTGTGGGGTTGATGGTGTCGAAGAAGAAGGAAAGAGTAAACATTGTGGCACCTCGTCTTCCTCTTTAGCCGCCGCCGCCTCCTCCTCCTCCTCGTGGAGACCCATGCCCTCGGCCTCCTCTGACCTTAGTGCAGGTACGTCAGTGGCAGAGGGATGGGTTGGAGCAGGGACCAGTTCTCAAGGACAGGAAGGGAACGTGTGGGCCTTTGGTAACCAGGATGAGAAAGCAGGGTGGGGAAGGGGAAGTGAAGGTGGTTCAAATACCCAGGTGGTATCTCAGGGAGCGTGGAAGGGAGGCAGTCCTGACGCGGACTGGGGCGGGGCAGGCGCAGCAGCGGGGGTAAGTTCGAGCAACATAGCAATAGGACGTGGAAGAGAAGGAGATGAGAGCAGCAGCAGCAGCAGCAGTGGAGGTGGAGGTGGTGGTGGAGGCAGTGCTTTACAGGATTCTGCTTCACCAAAGTTTGAAACTATGACAAAAGCTTGGGACAATCAGACGGGGATGGAGAGTGGGGAAGGGGCAGTTTGGGAGTGGGGTAGTGGAGAGGGAGGGCAGGCTGAAGGAGCTGGAGGTGGAAGCGGAGGCGGAGGACCTTCAGGCCCTTCATCTTCCAGTGGTGGAGGCTCCATAGCTGGAAGTGGTGGAGAAGGGAGTGAGAGTGGGAGCGGTAAACAGGCCCAGTCCTCTTCTTTGCACCACTCTAAGCAAACCTCCACGGAAGTGGCTGAAGTGGCCTTAAATAGCATGCTGAGTCGGTCAGACCTGGACCCCAGGGTACTGTCCAACATGGGGTGGGGGCAGACCCAGATTCGACAGAACGTGGCGTGGGACGTCGATGTGAACGCAGCAAAAGGAAAGAGAAGTGAAGGGAGTGCTTCGTCGAGCTCTGCGTTTTCATCAGCATCTCTAAACACTACCAGTACCTGTGGTCCTAGCTATCCAGCTAACACCAGTTCTGTAACTAATGACTCGCCTTCTGGCAGCCACACCACCACTTTAAATACTGCAGTGGTGAACAAGGGGGGCTGGGAGGGCGGTGCTGTGAGAAAACCAGCCCCGTCAGAAGAGGATTTCAAGAGCAGCCAAGGTAGAGCAGCCGGAGGCTGGGGAGATCCCTCACCTGAAACCCAGGGCAAAAGTTGGGGGAGTGAGGAGCAGAGTTGGAGGGATTACAGAGGAGCAGCGGGAGGAAACAGGCGAAACATTGGAGAACAGGGTAGTAATTGGACCGAGGGTCCAGAAGATAAGGGGACAGGGGCATGGAAAGGCACTGGGAGAGGGGAGGCAGGAGGTTGGGGTGGAGACTGGGGACAGAGAGACTCTGTACCTGGAGGTGGGTGGGGAGATGGACAGAGCCGAGGTGGAAGCAGCTCCGAGGGATCCTCCTGGACTAACATGGACGAGGTGGCGTCAAAGCGATCAGGATGGGAGGGAGGCAGTGCAAGTGGAGGTCAATCCCACCAGGACTGGGGGAGTTCCAACCCTCATCCGTCAGCAACCCAAAAACCAAACATCCAAGTGGTACCAATGAAAACTCCAAATCAGCAGCAGCACCAATCACAGGGCCAGCAGCCTCCCGGTCCAATGCAGGGTGGATGGAGCGGCCGGGCCAACGTTGGAGGAGGGGGTCCACCTTCCAAGAATCACAACCAAAGTTCGGGTTGGACCGCTGGGCCAATCCCCCAAATCTCTGGCGGGGACAGTCTGGAGCCCAGCGGCTGGGAAGAACCCTCACCTCAGTCCATCAGCCGAAAGATGGATATCGACGATGGCACTTCAGCCTGGGGAGACCCGACCCGCTACAACAGCAAGAATGTGAACTTGTGGGACAAGAACAGTGCCACACCCAGCCAAAGCCACGGTCAGCAGGTGCCGCCTCCAGGCATGCAGCAACAACAACAACAACAACAACAACAACAACCACAACCACAACAACAGCAACAGCCACCCAGGAGGCAACAGGCCATGCAGCACAGCAGAGACACAAACACTCGCACTGGTTCAGTTGGTAAGACGTCGCACCACAGCACTGGACACTGTTTGACCTTGATTAGAATTATCATTATTGTTCTGTCAGACTTTGATGTTTTAGTGCAGCCTTATAAACAAGTGCTAGAAGAAAAAATCAAGTTCAGTCTAATCTTGACTTTCTTGATCGCCAAATTCCAATTATTTTTATTTTTTTTCAAATTGTGTAGGTATGTGGGGGGGCGGTACACAGTCTCTGGATAACGGTACAGCTGCGTGGGGTCAGACATCAGATGCAGCAACTGGTTGGGGGGAACCAGATGAACCCAGTAAAGGTTCTGGCTGGAGGAACCCTTCACCCAACCCTGTTAAAACTGGTGAGAACAGAAATACGACAAGAAATTCATCCAAAAAAAAAACACAAAAACATAAACATTAGATGTTTGTTACATTAAGACTTGAGACCATCGATTCTTTTATTCATTTACCTCAGGATTTTTGTTTTTCCTAAATGAATATTTACAGACAGCAGAGAAGCATAAGTGGTGCTACAGTTAGCATTAGCCTCTGCTTTGTTATTTGCTGCAGGCAACAAACCAGTGGAAAGCTGGGGTGGAAAGACAGAAGGCTCTGTCGCAGCCTCCCGTCATTCAAGCTGGGACGAGGAGGAGGACAGTGGAGGGGGGGTCTGGAACAGCACTGGCTCACAAGGAAACAGCTCCTCCTTCAACTCTGGAGGCTGGGGTCATGCTCACGGAGGGAAAAGGGGCAACATCAAGGTGAGGAGCAGTTTTGTTTTGGCGAGTGATGCCTTTGTTCCAGTCTGTACATCGACTTATTTGGGAAAACCACGTCATTGTCTTGTCTTAGAGTGGAGGTGGAGACAGTTGGATGAACCCCGTTTCACGCCAGTTTTCAAACATGGGCCTTTTGGTAAGAATGATTCTGTTGTGTGTTGTACAGGTACCTTTTAGTTGCAGCCCACTGAATGTGATGTTCTGTTTTTTTCAGGGTGACGAATTAAATGAGGACAAAAAGATTGAAGACAAAAGAGGAATGTCTGATTATAATGGGGAGATGCGCCGGGGAGGACGAGGTGGAGGCTACCGCATGCCTGCATCCAAAGACATGGGGTCTGTTGACATGGGGTCGTATGGAGATAAGGTGAGGTTTTTTTTTTTTTTAATGAATAAATCATGTTGATTTCAGTGCAGAATACTACTGTAACTCAGTGAGATACATTTGGAAATGAATCACAGTTTGATTGGTACGTTTTCCCTTCAACTGTAGATGAGCGGCCACGGAGTGTATGTCGGCAGCGGTGGAGGGATGGCTCAACCTCGTGGGATGCACCAACCTGGCCTGCACCCGATGAGCTCCCAGGGGTTACGTGCTCAAGTGCCTCATCAGTTCCTGTCTCCGCAGGTCTGTTAGTCTCCTCTGTTTGAAACGACGAAATCAGAGAAAGCTCCAGTTACATAAAAATTCTGTTTTTTGTTTGTTCAGAGAAAGCTCCAGTTACATAAAAATTGATTTTTTTTTTAATTTAAAGCCATGCATGATGTACTTATTTTAAGTGTCTTCTTGAGACAGTGAATAACAACGATTTATTTGTGTTCAGGTGCCGAGTCCCATGCTGAAGCAGATGCCGTCCCAAGGCAGCAGCGTTGTTGGAGGAGTGGGACCCGTGGCTGGCGTTGGAAACGTGGGAGGAGTGGGTGGTGTTGGTGGAGGAGTGTTCCCACCACAAATATCCCCCCAGCAGCTTGCCATGCTCAGCAACATTTACCCTCACGTGCAGCAGTTCCATCTGGTTTGTGCCCATGTCTTTGATCAAACCCTCCCTGCGTCTTTAGTGAATCCTTGGTGTTTTGAAGAGTGTGATAACTGTTTCTACTCGCTGCCCCACAGGCTTGTCAGCTTCTACTACAACAGCAGCAGCAGCAGCAGCAACAGCAGCTCCTACAGAACCAGAGGAAGTTTGCTCAGCCTCAGTCTCTCAGGCAGCAGACAGACCCACAGCAGGTCGGCATGAAAACTAAAACTAAAAAACAAAAAACATTTTTTTGTAATTCATTTACAGAGACGAGTTACCTTTCACAGAACTGCTTTGTATTCAGAATATTTTCTCTGCTCTGGTATTTCCCCTACAGCTGGCAAGGATTATGGCTATCCTGCAGCAGCAGCGGCAGCATCAGCAGGGTGGAGTTGGAGGAGCAGCAGGGGGAGGAAGCTCCAAACTGTCGCCCACTCACCTGGGAGGAAAACAGCCTATGGTTGACCCTCTCTCCCATTCTGGAATAGGAGGACATTTATCAGACCTGCACGCCAAAACACAAGGGATGTACTCTGGTGAGTCAGGACGCTTTTACACACAGTAGACCAATCAGATTGTCAAGACAGGAGGAGATGAGAAGAAACCAAATTTTGTGGAACCGTTTCTGCTCAGTCTTTCCAGTTGTTTTGGCAGCTCAAAAACTGATGGAAACCCATTGATGATATTAGTTGGCTTTTCATTTCACAATGTGAAACTGTACTTTAGGGTTAAATCATGAAGCAAAAACACCAAACAGTTCATAAATGAGCTAAAGAAGTGAGTCAGCAGTTGACATTTACAGACGCAGTCTCTTATTCCTGCAGCTTCAGGAGTACGTCCAGGTGTGTCCTCAGATAACCTCTGAGTGTTCCTGTGATTGGGTCAGAGGATATGTTTTAATAATTAATATTCTTGTACTTTTTTGCATGAAAAAAAAGAGGAAACAACATGGACTAGTTATTTATAGTTAATTATGTTATGATTGTACTGGCCCCGCCCACTTGACTTGTTAGACACCCCTGGTCTAAATTTAGATGACTTGGAATGTTAGTCCATACCAGTCAGGGTTAGTCGTCCTGTCTTTGTGACCCTGCTGATGTAGTCATACACTGATGGCAAAATCACACACACACTAGAGTCAAAGAATGAATGGGTAAAATTACACAGCGCCACCTACTGACAGCTGATTATCAATACTCACTTCTTCTCAGGGCTGGAGCTCGGTTCCATGATCGGAGGGATGAAGGACACGGGAGGACAGCAGTCCCGTTTCAAATGGATGATGGAGGGCCACTCACCGGCTCCGTCGCCCCCTGACACCACACTTCACAAGAACGGATTGTAACCTCACCACGCTGCTGCTGCTGCTGCAGATCTGGATAATCAACCACTGTCAGTCACACTGATGTCATGTCCATCTGTGTGACCTCATCTACTGTGTTTCTTAAGGCCCTCTACCGAGCGCTCTGAAGGTGAGAGGAGGATCCCCGTACTCCCAGTACGAGTTGCTGGGCGGTGATGGTTTAGGAATTCCACCACAGGCCTCCACAGACAACTGGCAACGAACTCCAGGCAGTAAAATGGGAAACAAGCCGGCCACGTCCAGCTGGCCTCCAGGTAAGACAGGAGTTCAACATCACAAAGCATAAAAAATGCACGTCCAGCTGGCCTCCAGGTAAGACAAGAGTTCAACATCACAAAGCATAAAAAAATAGAAAAAAAAAAGGGTTTTAGTTTTAACTACAAGCTGCTGGAATAAAATATTTTTACAACCTTTGCAGAAATATTTTTACTTTTATTATTCTCATTGCAAAAAAAAAAAAAATAGTTTAACATCTTATTTTTCTGTGGTTTGACAGAGTTCCAGCCCGGTGTTCCCTGGAAGGGAATCCAGAGTGGTGGAGACCCAGAGTCTGACCCCTACATGACCCCTGGTAGCGTTCTGAACTCTCCAGGACCCACAAGTCTCAACGACTCTGACCACCAGTTACTGCGAGACAACATAGGTCGTTTCATTACTGAACTCCAACAAGTATTTTTTCCCCGTTTGTCACAGGATGTGTAAATAACCGTGTTCTATTTTGCAGGGCCAAACCCCTCTCTCAACACCTCACTGCCTTCACCAGGTGCCTGGCCCTACAGTGCCTCAGACAGTCCCCTCAGCAATGCACACAGCGCAGGTACATGTTTGACATCTTGAAGCCCTTTTATATTTTTTCTTCCTCTAATTGATATTTTTTTTTATCGTTTTAATTGTACGCGAGTTAAATTGACACCTGTTCTGTGACCATTCCTTTGTATTTGGCTGTGTTTTTTTTTTTTTTTGTGCCTTTTAAATCCAAATTCTCTGGTCTGTTTATCTGATTTTTTTTCTTCTTTTTTTCCTTCCACCCTCTCTGTTTCCTCTTCAGGAAAGTACTCGGAGTACAAGCCCAGCTGGCCCCCAGAGCCCATCGGACAAAACAAATTTTGGAAGACCAATCGCAGCGGCATACAGCTGCCACGCCCCCCTCCTGGCTTAACTAATCAGAAACAGGCCTCGTCCTCCCCCTGGAGTAGTGGAGGCCCACGGTTGGCCCGGAGCTGGGGAGGAGGTGGAATTAATCAGGAGTCGAGATTCGGGCCAGGTACTTTTTTTTACAGAGAAGCTGTGAGGCCATTTCATAACAGACAGAGTTTTTGTTATTAAATCAATTGTGTTTTAATTGTAATCTTTAATTTCTTGCTGTTACACAATTGCCCTTTATTTCATCCTTTTTTTTTCTTCTTCGTAGGCTCAGCTTGGAGCGACAGTGGGGCTTCCAGGAGCAGCTGCTGGTTACTCCTGAGCAATCTGACCCCGCAGGTAAAGAGAGGACATAAACCAGCTTAGACACGTTGAATACACACCGGACACACAGTTTGAAACACCTGCGGTCACAGTGAGCACAACACCGGACGTCACCTGGAACAGCTGCTCACACAGAACGCTCATGGTTTCCGTTTGGACACCGTGAACCTGAGCGCTCCTCCATCTGCAGTCTCCTTCACTCCGACTTATGTAAATGAGACAGACTGATCCGTGACCCGTCTGTAATTGGATTGTAAAGTTGGATGAACCGTTTAATCAATTAGGCTCTGCACAAATGACACCGGAGTGAGTGAAACTGCTCTGGGAACAGCGTGGATATGACAACGGTTCCTTCTTAGTCTCTGTCTTTACACTGGTTAAATCAGGACTGTGTAAACCAACCCACGTTTTACGCTTAAGCCGTGCTTTTTACTGGAAACTGTTATTTTTCTCTCCAATCAGATTGATGGATCCACACTGAGGACCATCTGCATGCAGCACGGCCCCCTCCTCACCTTCCACCTTGGCCTGACACAGGGCAGTGCTCTGATTCGCTACAGCAGCCGACAGGAAGCTGCCAAGGCCCAGGGTGCACTGCACATGTAGGTTAATCTGTAATCTGTAATGTTATCTACCCTAATCCATGTGACAAACACTTAAAAAAAAAAAAGTATATCATATTTACACTCTTCTTCTTCTATGTTTCCTCAGGTGTGTTCTGGGCAACACAACAATCCTGGCGGAGTTTGTGACTGAGGAAGAAGTTGCTCGCTATTTTGCACATTCCCAGACCAGTGGGGCAGAAGAGGTCGGCTCAGGAGGAGCTCCATCTGCTGGACTGCAGGGTTCCTCTGGTTCAGGCGCTGCTGTGGCCAACAGTGGAGGCAGCTCCCCGGGCAGCGAGCAGGCACCAGCGAGTACGACTGCAGGAGGAAATGGAAGTGGCAGCAGCGGCGGTGGAGGAGGAGGAGGAGTGGAGGGAGGAGGAGGAGCAGCAGCTGTTCTCGGAAGTGTGAGGTCCTCCAGCTCTGGGTGGCAAAGTCTTGACGGTACAGGCGGTTCTTCAGACTCCTCTACAGGTCAAGGACCTGGGTTGGGGATGTTTTCCCAATGGAGCACAAATGGGTCAGGGGAGGGTGGAGGAGCAGGAGGGGTCGTGGGAGTGGGGGGGGTCGAGGCCGGCAGATCTGGCTTGTGGGGGGGCATGACTGCTGGGTACCCCGGCAGCAGTCTGTGGGGGGCACCCCAAATGGAGGAGAGGCACCAAATGGACAGCCCCGCTGCATTATTACCTGGTGACCTGCTGGGAGGAGGAGCAGATTCCATCTGAGGAGGCCTGCTCCTGTTGTAACGTGTAGGTTTGGACACACTGATACGGCATACACTGGGTTACACATGTACTTACTATAGCACACACACACATACACACACATACAGTACATTTTCGTGGTATGCATATAGATGTATTACACATATACCACACGTGCGTACATGTACCGTGTATGCATTTGGACGTGCACACATGAAGCGGAAATGTGAGACATGCTTACACACATTCTTGTGGCCAGACTTAAGCTATTATATAAACAAATGCAGGGACTGTTAGATGTGTATACAGCCTTTTTTCACAGATGAAGATTTCAACTGCTTAGACTTGAATCCTGAAAAAAGAATGAAAAGTCAGTGGGTCTGAAAGACTTGACTGCGTTGTTATGTGCTTAGTAAAAAAAAAAATAGAAAAAAAAAGGAGGGGGACTTTTCAACAGATTTACATACACGTGCACACACCAAATACAGACTAGCCTTCAGACAGTTGGGCACTGTAAACAGCATTACCTTCTTCGTGTAAGAGAACTTAAAACTACTAAATGATGTGAGGTTAAAAGTTCCGTTTGTATTCACGTGTCGCCCGGTGATCGACGGAGACGGAATTCAAACACATGCAAACAGCTCTGACGACAGAACTGTAACTTACTGTGTATGTTAAGATTTATTTTTGTTTGTATGGTTTTAAAACATTTTTTTTTTGTTTTCTTTCTCAAACAGTGGAAAATATTGAAAAATGTCTTTGTTCTTGTTTTTCAAAAATGCTGACCTCCTACTGTTGTATCTCACGCACTCTCTCTGTTATACTCTCTTGAACATGTTTGTTACTGTTGCAGTGATAAATGTTAAATAGTGGGCAGTTTGATGCTATGTTGCATTTCTCCATGTGTGAGTACTGCACGCAGTATGACACACACAGGTGTGTGTGTGTGTGTGTGAGCGAGACTGAGACCAAGTTTGTGGATCAAACCACCACCGTTCGAGTGTGTGTGTGTGTGTGAGTGAAAGTGTGAGAATAATTGCGTGTGCATGTTGATGCCTGTCATTTTGTGGGCAAGGCTGCTTACTTTACAGAAGGTCTATACATAAATGTTTTGAGTGCATTCGATATACTGCTGACTGTGTTAAGAAATATTGGCACTAATGCTTTTTTTTTCCTCTCATTTGAAGTTTTTTTTTAAGCAGACTTGTCTTTTTATTGTCTGACCTGCAATAATATTAAAAAAAGGAACATTTTAATGACACAAAGAGCTGAAGGCATATGCGTTAAAAAGAATGGACATGCCAAATCTTATCAAACTGTGTGCAGTGGGGGGAAGAGGGGAGGGCAAGGAAGGGGAGGGAGGAGCGGGTGGGAGGGAGGGTTGTTTACAGCTGCAGAGTAAGAGTTACCATACGTTTTTAATGTTGTTGTGTATTCGTTTTAAATTAAGACAGGCTTTAACACTCCTGTTCAGTGTTTTTGTTTTGAGATTTTACAAAGGAAAAAAAATATTTAAACAAATGAGAACAAGATTAATAAAGATGAAAGTATTGGCTTCTACATACATCTGTCCCCGGTCATTCTCTGAACTCCACAAACCAGGAAACTCTTAACAATGTCGTGAAACCACATACAGCACATTCTTAAATGTCATGTCTAATGTTGTGACACCGCACTACGACTGCACCTGCTTTTTAAGTGAAAACCTGAGCTCTTCTGCTGCTGTTTACATGCTGCACTAACCACATGCAAATTGAAGCGGGCGTCAGTTCCTCATCGTCCACGAAAAACAATCTTTCCCCCACGCATGTCATCCCGCGGTGTCCCCGCTGTGTTACTGTATGTGTTGTGACACCGCTGTGGTGTTACATGAGCAACACTGTCACCAGCAGTTATCACAACACTTACAGCTGGAGTTTAGGCCGCTGCCATGTACACCAGGGCAGGTGGAGCCACATGTTTGGCATGTGACAGATGATGGGTGTGAAAATGGAATGAATGAAAAGAATGTTGCAGGCATGGATATTTGCATCACCAGCTACTGCTGAGTTCTTCTAGTTCAAATGTTACTTGTAAATAAGAGAATATGATTTGGTTTATAATATATATATTTATATTTGTAAATGAAAGTAAGTCTTGGCTAATGCTTTGAGTTTTTTTGTTTGTTTGTTTGTTTGTTTTTGTTGTTGTTGTTTTTGATTAAGGGAAAGCAGCCTAAGTAGAGAAGCTCAACGTTCCCTCTCCCCTGACACTTTATCCAGCTCTTCCGTTTTTATTTTTTATTTATACATATTCCACCATTAATAAGTTACGGTGTGTTATCTGCAAATGTAGAGCCTCAAATGAATATGAAGGAAATTGCTGGTACTATTATTATTATTGTTTATTATTAATAATAAACCCTTATTATTAATAATGATTGTATTTGTTATTATTAATAAGGGTTTATTATTCATAATAATATTAATAATAATTGTATTATTATTATGCGTGAATGTTCGATATAAACCCCTATAAACGCGGTATTGACTCCGTATCGTCAACGAGAGCCTCGTGAATGAACGAACGATCAAAGGAAGGAGTGGTGAGCTGTGACGTAGGCTGACATGTAGAGGATGACATCATCGACGCCGTGCACGGGCACGCTGTTAAGTAACGAGAGGAGGAGACAGAGCCGAGTGGAGAGCTGCTCGTGCTACCGCAGCTTCTCAGGGACTATCAACAGGGAGCGCAGCCGACTGACAAGAGCACAGAGCGGAGGGTATGAACGCTGACAGAATCCGCTCCCATCCTTCTCTGGCCGGGCTCCTGTCGGACTGACAACCACCGGTTCACAATCTACACCGAAGCAGCTCTCGGACGAACCCAGTATCGGGTGAGTGGTGGCTGTGGGGACCGGGGAAAGCAGGGGGGAAAAAAGGGAGCCCGATTCGGCCGTATTGGAGTCTCGTATTCACGGCTCTTAGAGGAGAGAGGGGGAGGGGGTGAGCAGTTAGGCAGGCTGGCTGTGCTCCGTGCTTACACTGACTGGCCGCTACAGTCATGGGTGCGGCTGGGAGTCAGTAGGAAAGGCTGCGGAGCGCGAATTATGCACACATTTTTAACATTTTATCCCCAAAACGTCACTGATGGCGGTGAGAGCAACACGTACCGTACCGTGGCTCGGTTAACGTGTGACTTCAGTGTTATTCCTAGCAGCTAACACTTAACCACCGTCAGTAATTGGTGGTTGGAGTAACACAACCGTCGGTCAGTTGATGAAGAACATGTCTGTGCAAATGTGTTTCTTTTTTATACAGATATTTGTGCCGTAGTAATTTTCACGAGAAGTGTCTCATCGTTAAGATAATCTACAAAGTGACGTGACGTGACGTGACGTCCACCCAGTGCCGTTAAACACTAACGATATCCCGGTGTAAATTTGACAGTTATATAAAATGTACGTCGCAAACACTGGGGCAATTGTGCACTGACAGCTGGTTCAGTGAGAGGTTCCTGTCTGCGCCCAGGCTCGATGTGGTTGTGAAATCTTCTGGCTGAGATTCTTGACACTTTTATTCCCCCCAACCCCCCTTCTTTGTGTCGAATTATTATTATTTTTATTGTTTTTACTACTTTAATGTACACAGTTTACACGTCACGAAGTCCGACCTGAGACTTTGTGTTTCCCTCAGACTTAGCGGTGGATTGTAGCATCCACACTGTAACCAATCCACTGTCCTGTAGGCGATTACTACCACAGAGGCACGTGGTGTTTTTGTGCTCGGAGTGTGACTGGGTTATTATTCCGAATGTCTCCTCTTAACACACGCTATTCCTTACAAAAACCCATCAGAAACTGGAATAGAGTTCTGCAAATATATTGACCATGTGAAATAAAGTTGTTATTGTAATTTTATTTTGTTAGTATTGTTAATTGTCAATGTTATTATTCCTCAGTTTTAAGGCATTTTTGGTCTCAAATAATTAGTTGCACAATGTTTGTTTAAAAATGTAGTTAATAGTGACAGTAGTCTTCACTTCATCATGAAGAGTTAGTGACTGGTTAGTTCATTAGTCCGTTTGTTATTGTGTGATTACATTAGGGGGGGGGGATCACGGATGTCACGCTGTTGTTGCCTGTTGTCATGTCAGTATGGTCCAATAAATGTTTGTTTGCACATTAATTCACACTATGTTTTGTTAAAGTCGAACTGGAGTTTAATGTTGGACATTTCTTTTACACTCTAAATTTGTAACATGGCAATGACATGGATTTCTTTGGTAAATGTGTCTATATCAGCGACAACGTATCAGTTTGATTTCACCCAAGTATTTATTTATTCAGGTGGGAGTGTTTGAGTTAGTAACTCTGAGTAATTCCACTCAGACTATGAGAAGTATATAAATACACACACATATATACATATATATGTACCAAACAAACCTGTGAGACCAGCCTCAGAGAGATTGTGTTCTCCGCACACACAATGTAAAGGCGAGGTCCTGATAAACACAGCGTTCTCACCTTTTAAGTAAACACGGCCATGTTTAACTCGAAAGTCTTAGAAGAGAATACGCCTTTTACGAGTCTGAGCACAAGGTAGTTTAGTCCAGACTAGAGTTTGAGTTCAAAACTGAACTTAATCTAGTTAGAGTTTGTAGTTAGTGTCAACAAAACCAATGTGTTGTTTTAAATTTGTAACATTTTCTCATAAGGAATCCAAGGAAAAGGTGCCAGGCATTAGTTAAAAATGACCTTAAATTCTGAATACTTGCAGTTTGTAATGTTTTAAACTCAAAGATTTACCACATATAAGACCAAATAATTGATCAGTTGCTCTGACAACCCGTCCCATTAATGGCACTCCATGAAACCTAACCTTTATGTAACCCAAATCAATCTGTGTCACTTTCACATTTCCATGGCAGCTTCTCTCCTCGGCCCAGGCTGAGCTGATGGCAGCTCTGGTTTCCATCTTTCAGTGTGTCGAGTCGGTGGTGAAAACAGACGGAGCTGAGACCAAAATGTTAGGGAGATGTGGGACATTTTTTCCTTTTCTGGTTCAGAAGATCCAGGTTTACAAACAGGAAAGAAAAACAGCGAACTGTTAGTTATTTGAGAGCGCTGCTAGTGTTTGCCGCCTTGTTTGTTTTCTCAGCAAAGCACCTCCACAGATGATTAATGTCGTGGTGAAGCTCCCTTGGATGGAACCAGTCTGAATACAGAGCAGTAGTTCTTCAGGGCTGACGACCGTTCAGTCGGCTGTAAAACGGAGGTTGTCCTAAGAACGTTTTGTTTGTCGACTTCTCTGAAGTCACAAGGCCGTTTCGTGTTTTCTATGCAGAGTCAGGCCAATCAAACTGAAGCCATGGAGATGTTTCAGGTTTAGGACCAGACGGAGACATCAACTGACTCAGTGTTGTGTCAAGTCTGTCGCAGCATCTCGTCTGAAAACCAACATCTGCCGTTACTGAATTTGCCCGTTTGTTCGCACGTCGGGTTGAAATGAATAGTTTGAAATCAAAACCTCGATGCATTTATAGCTGAATTTTTGTTTCCTCTGCGTTTACTGCCCAGAGTTGACCTGGGGCCTTGACCCTGACGATGTCTGCCACTGCTCTGCAGCCACTCGTGCTCTCCTCCCTTTGGCAGAGCCATCTCAGAACCGTACAGAGATTAGCCCTTTATTTTTTTGCAGTGGCTGCACAGAGTGCTGAAGTGGAGCGAGTGCTGAATTAGTGATGATCCAATTCCAGCTCGTGACATGGACTTAATCTCTGAGAAGGCTCCTTATTTCCTCACAGGGTCCAAGTCTTGATATTGAATTAGCAGATGATACTGAGGCACTTTTTTATTTATTTTTTTTATCCAGGGTGTGAACTTTAAAATTAACAGATTTGAGTGTGTCCCCTTGTGACCCCTCCGTTTGCTGAGCGAGCCTCCTCCCTGTCCTGGCTGCTCTACAAATCTAATCATGTGTTTGTGAAGTCGAGGCAGCTGTTTGCTGATCAACAAGCGACGCTTAAGTTAAACTTCCCACAGAAGACACATGGTCAACTGAGCGTGTGTGGTGTGTCTGCTGTTGATGTTGATCCTCGGATTAACTTTCTCAAACAGAAGAATTGTAATAATCTGAACGTGAGCCACGACTGTCGTCCGACAGATTGGAGTTGCAGCCATGGAGCTGAGAGTGGGGAACAAGTACCGACTCGGGCGGAAGATAGGGAGCGGTTCTTTTGGAGATATTTATCTGGGTAAGTTAAATAAATTAAAAAAAATTAGGAACTCTAACTTCTGCTCTGTCCACCAAACATCTAGCAGTGATTTAAATGTGATTTAAATTTGATTCCTGTTTCCTCAGGTGCCAACATTGCCACTGGTGAGGAGGTGGCCATCAAACTGGAGTGTGTGAAGACCAAACACCCACAACTGCACATTGAAAGCAAGTTTTACAAGATGATGCAAGGAGGAGGTAAGACTTTTTGCCCGACTTAGAGTTAACTATTTACGAAACCATTGGAAGTTTGAACAAAGAATAGAATGTGTTTTTGAATATTTAAAGCAGGGGTTTCCACACTTTTATGGCTTGGGAGCGACTTTTTAAATAACCTGGTTGATAATATTAAATATATATTTACTCATATAACCTGAATATACTTTATATATAATTTAATAATTGAGGTTCTTTGATTAAATTGTGCCACAGTGTGATTCAGTATTTGTATAATTTATAATTAAGATGAAGAGATTTCATGAGCAATTTTAGTTGCTTATTATCTGCCTTTGTGATCTGCTGGTAGATGGTGATCTACTTACCCCTGATATAAAGTATTCAAATCTGAACCGACAAAGTGTGAAATTTAGCTTGAAAATCAAATTGTTTTTTGTTTTTTTTCTTATACTAAATGGTTGATTTATTATGGTCTGGGACTATTGTCTGCACGTATTCTATATGTAGTGAAGTAAATACTTGAAATTCCCGGAAAAGAAAAAAAAAAAAAATCATTTCAAATGAGTAGTAAAGTTAAGTTTCTTTCAGATACTGCAACAATTCAGCAATAAAACTGAAAAATCTTAATGTTTTTGTTTTTAATCCAGTGGGTATTCCATCCATAAAGTGGTGTGGTGCTGAGGGAGACTACAACGTGATGGTGATGGAGCTGCTGGGTCCCAGCCTGGAGGACTTGTTTAACTTTTGCTCACGCAAGTTCAGCCTGAAGACGGTTCTCCTTTTGGCAGATCAGATGGTGAGTCCTGGTTCCACACCAAGTGGTGGCTAATAAACCAGACAGCCTCACCAGTCCTCACTAACCATCTGTTACTCTTCTGTCTGCGTCACAACACAAACGAGTCACACAACATATGATATGGGTCATAGCTGTGACCTGAATCTAAACTTTCTCTGCTCATACCTCGCATTACAACGTTGCACATGATTTCCCTGCGGCTTGTTAGGGTTTTCAGTTGAAGTGCAGCCCGCGCTTCTTCAGCACTGGCCTAGATTTCTAGCTCTAGCTCTGGAGCACATTTCAACTTGTTTTTCCTGCAGCCTCGATGCCGTGTCAGTTTATTGCACGTTGGCGTTTCACTTATCGCTGAGGTCATCATTGTCTTTGTGCCCCGTTTTTTTCCTCTGCTTTAGTCTGTCATTGTGTGCGTTGTTGTGTATTTACTGACTGCACCTGCTGCTCGGCGTGCAGGTAAAGTGCTGAGTTAACATGTGAAATGTGATACGACCTCGCAGTGACACCACGTGTCGTCGCTGTGATTCTCTCCAGCGTAGCACCTGAGCCTCTCTGTCGCACCTGTGCGTTCTCAGATTAGCCGCATCGAGTACATCCACTCCAAGAACTTCATCCATCGTGACGTCAAGCCTGACAACTTCCTCATGGGCCTTGGCAAGAAGGGCAACCTGGTCTACATCATTGACTTTGGCCTGGCCAAGAAGTACCGAGACGCCCGCACGCACCAGCACATTCCTTATAGGGAGAACAAGAACTTGACTGGCACAGCACGCTACGCCTCTATCAACACACATCTGGGAATCGGTAAGGTCCCTGTTAAATCATACTGATAAACGGAGGTGCTGTGATGAGACATTACTGGCAAAACCAGATTCGATTCATCACGTTTTGGTGAGGTTGGATTAAAAACAAAAACCAGAATGTGGTGTGGTATGAGGAACGTCTCGGGACATGACGTCAAACACAGGAGGGACAGAGTTTTCTATTGTTAAAAAAAAAAAAGTCTTCCTCCTAAAAAGGTGCTACGTGATGTTTTTCTATGTTACTGGGTCATGAGAACCTGCGTTCTAGAAACAAGAACAGAGAACTGTTGAGTTTGGGAAACAAGAAGTTACAAAAGATGACCTCACTATAAATTATATATATATACACACACACACACATACATACATACATACAGACACTGTCAACTTTTAATATTTTGAAAATTGTCTACAGAGCAGTCCAGACGTGACGACCTGGAATCCCTGGGATATGTCCTAATGTACTTCAACCTGGGCTCGCTCCCGTGGCAGGGCCTCAAGGCGGCGACCAAGAGACAGAAGTATGAAAGGATCAGTGAGAAGAAAATGTCCACTCCCATTGAGGTCCTCTGCAAAGGTTACCCTTGTAAGTAGGGCGTCTGTTTGACGGTTACAACATGTTGTTCGACTGCCGTGACATCACAGAATTCCTCAATCACTGATGTTTTCTTTTTTATTTTTTTTCTTATACAGCTGAGTTCTCCACATATCTGAACTTCTGCCGTTCCCTGCGCTTTGACGACAAACCAGACTATTCTTACCTACGACAGCTCTTCAGGAATCTTTTTCACCGACAGGGTTTCTCCTACGACTATGTTTTCGATTGGAACATGTTGAAGTTTGTAAGTTTGGGACGTCAACGGAAAAACAGTTTGTTAGTTGATAAAGGTGGAAGCTGATGTTTGGCTTTTTTTGTTTTTTTTATTGACAGGGTGCCGGTCGGACAGCAGAGGACGGTGAACGGGAAAGAAGGACAGGAGAAGACAGGGAGGAGCGAATCGTAGGAGCTCCCAGAGGCTCTGCATCCCGCGGCCTTCCCCCAGGTCCCAACCCAGTAGTTCCCAACAGGGTCAGGAACGGGCCGGAGCAGGCCATTTCTAACCCTGCCTCCCGGGTCCAACAGTCTGGTGAGATTCTTGCTACATTGGTCCAAAATTAATTTTCTTTTTTAGAGATCAAATCGGGTCAGAACTAAACTTTTATTTAATGTTTTAGGAAATACGTCGCCACGTGCAATCTCCCGTGCAGAGAGGGAGAGGAAGGTGAGCATGCGGCTCCACCGTGGGGCTCCAGCCAATATTTCGTCATCTGACCTCACGGCCCGTCATGACCAGTCCAGATCACAGGTAAGAAGATCCCTGTGGCTACTCGGGTGTTCAGGTGAAACCAATGCTCAGGAAGAAAATCAATGGTGTTTAAGACATTTTTAGACTAAAATGCCCATCTACAATACAGCCAAACAGGACATGAAACAATGTGTTTCAATGGCCAATCAGTGCTCGTGGTTTGATTATTATGCATATCTGTTTTTACTGCCTCCTGTCTGTGTTTGCGCTGCACTACAGATCCAGTCTAATTCTGTTTCTTTGCAGGTCAGCGTGCCATTTGAACACATGGGGAAATAGACTAATGTAACTAACAGGTGAGACCAGGTTCACTCACTCATGTGTATGTAACTATAATAAGAACACCTGTCTCTGACCACTCTTCCTTTTTTTGCAGGGCTTCAAGATCGTTGCTCTGATTCATTCTCTCTTTTTTTTTTTTACCTTGTCTTATTACTATTGCCAATAGTCACATGGATCTTTGGAAAAGGACTACATTTTTTTAAAGGATCCAGAGAAGCATGTGACAGCATCCAGTATGAACTCTTAAATGAACCCCTTTACTGGTCCTTGGACCAGCACCTCAATACAAAACACATGAATGACACCAGTGACTCCAAGGATGTTCTCATCTGTCCCCGTCATCCTCCAAGGAGTTTCCTCAATACCCTCTGTCTGACAACTGTGAAAGAACTACCACGAAGGAGCATCAAGGTGTCGTGTTGCACAAAAACAAATTTAAGGATTTTTTTTTTTTTAATTATTGTTTTTGGTGAAAGAAACAGCTAAATGAAGTGATTCAGTAGGTGGGGTAGATGGGTTTGAAATGAGAGGGCAACAAAAAGAGGGTTTACTCAGTAAGTGATGTTTTAGCTGTTGTAAAGTCATGTCTCTGACGTAGCAGTCGGTCTTACATGCCCTTCATCCGCCCCCGTCGTGATGATGTCCTAGTCGCTTTTAGTCCTAGCCACAAAAACACGCACCACCCTTTATGTTGCCTGTTTTTAAACCGTGTGTTTTTGTGTATGTTTTTTATGTGAGCGGGTAAGGTGAAGAATGACCATAGATATTGCAAAAACACTCCCAGATCTTGAGGGAAACTCCTCAGGAAACTATCGGTATATTTGACCATAGCTGCCCTTTTTGGCTAACAAATAGTGGCTGCAATTTTTATGACAGTTCTTAATGTTACCTTTTTTATTCTTTTGTTATCGGAGGCCACGGAGGACTGGGCGGCTCCACTGTAAATATATTTTTTTATTTTGATGTAAAGGCAAAAAGTGGTTATTTGTTTTATGATGTAAAGTAGAAAATGCATATTATTAACAACCGGGGAAACTGGGTTCAGAAGACCAGAAGTACTAATTTGAGGGTTGGGCTACTGTTGCTTTGCTACCTGGGTCATTTTCTTGAGTGTATGTGTGCATGTGAATAATTTGAGTGAATGAGGGAGTTGACAGGAAGTCGTACAGAGAATCCCTGCTGTAACCAGCCTCATTATCTCATTAAGGAGGAATTCTGTCTATTTCAACTAACAGCTGTTCAAGTTCACTAGCGACTGTTGCTAGGGTTAAAAAAAACCCACCCTGTTGTCTAACATGGGCCAATATATTTCATTTGGAAGTCCATCCTTTTAGACAAGGTGCTCAAAATATCATTACAAGTGCTATAAAACATGAAGTTATTTGATCCGTTTTCAGTAAATATGTCTAGTCTTTGTAAAAGAACTACCTGAAAGTACCTTGGGTTTTCCTTAGTTCTAATTACTATTTTAGTACTCGTACTCCTCTCCTGTTTACTGTGTTAATCCCAAACATTGAAGTCTTGCAAGTAACCATTTTGCATAGCACAAGTGAATGATATTTTGATTCGTTTTAAGCAGAAATCAGTGAAACTAATGAACAAAGATGTTGAAAATCACTGTAATTCCCCTTTTTAAACTTTTTCGCTTCCTCTTTATTTTATTTCTCACATTGTCAATGTTTTTATTAGCTCTTACCGTCCTAACTTATGTCTTCATGTAACTGTCGCGTAACTTATTGAAATCATGGTCTCGTTTTTATGCCGCTCCCTGTGTTCCTCTGTCATGCCTTTGAGGTTGTCTGCCCCTGTGACACGTAAGGATTCCCGTATTTCCTCCGTCGGTAGCTTGTCATCGCAGAATTTCGATGTCACCTGGGTATCTTGTTCTTCAGCAGCCTCGATGATGTCATTCAGGTTCATTTGCAGGGATGTGTAAATAGCAGTGTAATGTGTGTAAGTACTTTTGTACAGGCCACCATCATGACCCAGTGGCATTGTAATTGTTGGTGATCTGGGTGGTTTCTCTATGTATTGTGTATTGATAGCTTGTACAGTTCTTTAACACACTTTATTTACAACAGTATTTGTGTATATTTTATGAAGTAATAAAAATTAATAACGTTGCTCAACCGTCTGCTTGAATTGTTTTGCTTCTTCTGTGGAAGTGCGTGTTGTTTTTTTCTTATCAGAAGTGTGTTTTTTTTATCGGGGGGCGTTGTCTGTACAGTGACATCATGTAAATGATAGAAGCTGTAATTTCAGCAGTGCCATTACGCATGCGCCAGAAGAGGACAGCTGCTGCTGGTGATGTGGACAAAGTAACGATGCACTCTTCGTTAAAGCTGAACTGGAAATGTGAGGCTAATATTTACTTTAAGATTCTAGTTTAACATTTGTCAGGAATGAGCAACATTTTTCAATTCCCGTTTTATATATTTACATTGAGTTAACGGACAGGAAGAAACGGCAGCTAACGGAGCAGTGGCTAACTACCGTTAGCTAACAGCGTTTTTTTTCTTTTCCAGCAACGACTCTGCTCAGGTTTATAACAGCCCGTGTTCCGGAGCAAAACAATGCTGTGTTCATCACATCGTAGGCAATTGTTCGTCTGAAGGATTTATATACTTTGGGCAACAAACAGTTGGAGAAGTAGAAAATAAAAGGCTCTGGACTCAACACGAGATGAGGCGTTAAATCGGCGGTGGGATTGAAAGCAGCGCAGCTCCAATAACTGCAGAGGTAAGTGAAGATAAATGATGGCGACACCATCACTGACCAACAGGTTTGCTGCTGCGATTTATTTTTTTATTTTAATAACAGTCTCATATATATCAATAGGCTGTGTTAAAACGTCAGTAATAAACAATACTTAGGACAATAGGCTGTGTTAAAACGTCAGTAATAAATAATACTTAGGACAAACGTACTCAACGTATATTAAACGTGTATTTAAAAACATGGTTAGCAGTTGTTTCTCATTTAAACCACAATTGTGTTTTTTTCTTACGTCTTTCCAGTACCAAATCTTTATCTGACATTATGTTAGTGTTTATTCAGACAGCAGTTTGTCATATGGAGCTTCTCTCTGTTGTGGCTTCACTTAGTCCAATCGTAAATGAGCTGCGGTCACAGTGAGAAAACCGTGATGTTTCCATCGTCTCTGTGGCCTGATGCTCGACTACATTGTCTCCTAGCGTGAGGCTTTTGCTTCATCATAGTCCGGCACAAAGGCTGCTGATTCGATTGAGGTCAAAGTACAATGCATGTTTTGAAACCCGCCCACGGCCACAGTGAACAAGATTGTATGGACCCCGTGTCAACAACACGATGTTGTTCAGAGGAAATGCACAGATACGAATTCATAAATACATAATACGTAAAGATAGAAATGCATCAAAAATATTGATGGTCAAAAACTTTTTATGTATGTTTTAGAGAATTAATTGTTGTTAAAACAGTCAGTTATGTCCATATTATACTGAACATTTCCAAAAAAAGAAAATGTCTTTAAGTGTAGGATCAAAAAACAGATTTTTTTTTGTGTGGAATCAATTTAATATAACTAATTATTAGCCGTAAAACAGTCAGTTATGTCCATATTATATTTAACATAAAAAAATGTCTTTAAATGTAGGAACAAAAAGCAGATAGAAGAAGCAGATTTTTTTGTGGAGTCAGATTTTAATATAACAATTTATTAGGCACTTAGACGATGTTAGCAGCTGTTGACTAATGTTGTGGCTCATTTGTCTTTCATTTATGAATACATTTTTAATAAGCATAAATGTTTCATAAGTACACATTCAAATGTCCAGGAAGATCCAGCAGGTGTTGCGAAAATGAACCTTTGGAAAATAATTGGAACACAATCTTCCATTTATACAGAAAAGCTAATATCCGATGGTCCATATTAATATCAAGGGCAATGTGAAAATACATTACAAAAAAAACCAAACACAAATGTGAATTTTATTCAAGTCGATACACATCCACAGCTTCCACGTTGTCACTGTTTGATTGAGGCCTTGGCAGCACTGTGAGTCATCCATGATCACACCGAGGGCTGGCCTATATTTAGCTGCAGTGCAGGGGAGTTTGAAAGCCTTCGTGAAATTAGTTTTCACTGTGAATGATTACATTATCTCCCAACTGGAATCCATCTCCAAGACAGAAGAGAGAGAGAGAGAGAGAGAGAAACCTGCTGCGATGGACCAGGTTAGATGATGTGACCTCCAGAAGTTGGACTGTTATAACTAGTCAGTTACATGTCTGTTTTATAAGCTCCTCTGTTCATGTTTTGTATGAATTGTCAATGTGAATAGTTTTGTTTGTTTCTGCTCTGCTGACGTGGCACAAATCTAGGATAAACAGAGAACAAAGTGCCGGAGACAACGCTCTGGTTTTACTCTTGAATGAATGATGAGAATGTGACACTTTCAGCCAGCAGTTATATAAGCTCCAAAACTGATTTGTTCAACTGCTGAGAAGTAGAAAAGGAACTTTATACACAGCCGTTATGAATGTCATAGTAGAATGACTCTGAGTGGAAAAAAATCTGCTCCATTTCAGTGGACTTTTTTTTGTGGCCTTTTTTTAGTTTTATATTTTTTTTGTTGTCACTGTTTCTAAATATACTTATTTTAGCTTTGAGTAAAACTTGGAAAGTGGGTCAGCAGCTCGTAGCTGTCACACCGCATCACTTCATTTAAATCGTTCAACTTCACCATGTGCTGCTGTGTGTGTGTGTGTGTGTGTGTGTGTGTACGGTTTGAGACTTTTTATAAACCTGTCCTCACCCACCTACAGTCTGTGTTAGATTCCACCGCTGCAGCTCACGTCAACACCTCTAAGGTGTTCCAGAGCGTTGATTGGCTGATTGTGGAGGACAAATGATTGAACCTCTTCTTCTCCACCCACTGTTTGTCACAGATGAGGCGACTCTTGCAGCAGGACATACTGTTGTCCCAAAGGTTAGGGAATGACTCTCCGGTCGGCTTCGCCCCGGGCTCTCCGGCCACTGCGGCCCCCCAGGTGTCCAACTCTTCCTTTGTACCCGAGGCCCCGGTGGTCACTCCCGAGCAGCCATTTTTCCTCATGACCTCCACTGCTCAAACCATATCGGGTTTTTTCGTCTGGACAGCTCTTCTTATCACGTGTCACCAGGTAAGGGAGTCTGAGGCCTGAGTGGACGTAGTGGTGGTCAGAGGGTTCTGAATAAGAAACAGCAGGTGACACACACACACAAAGAGACGTTTCCTCTGCATCTCCATGAATCAGGAGCTGCAGGCTGCACTGTAGCACTGCACCCTGCTGAAGCTGGGACTTGATCCAGTAATCCTCCAATCACGAGTTAGATTTTTTTTTAACCAATGGCTGCCCTTTAGAAATAGTAATTTACATTAACGTACAGTAAATATCTATAGAAATATATCTATTAACTGTACAGTGTCTGAAAGCCTCCATTACCAGGTATGATGTATTGGCTCTGTTATCAGGTTATCAGATATCAGGTGCATACTCGTCATGTTATGAACTGTGGGTACACAGTTGGTCTGCAGTCCACAGTTTGCAGCCCCTGGTCAAATACAGGGTTTAAAGAAGAGTAGCCGGTCCGGTCTGACAGCGGTACAGGTCCTTGTCTCGCCCAAAGTTTACGTCCCTCCAGTCACTGGTTGAGAAAGAAATAAATGGTGTTTGTTTCCATGTGAGCCAGTGTGTGCTCACGTATATGTACAAGGCAGGGATGAGCATCACCTAGCAACATCCTCCCAGTGAGCAACGTGTCTCTCTCTCACCCTCTCTCTCTCTCTCTCTCTCTCTCTCTCTCTCGTCACCTGCTGTTTGTTATTTTATCCAAGGTGTGTGTCTGTTTACAGGCCAGGAAATGTGATCGCCGGTGCATTGTGTAAGTGTAAAGGAGCTGGTCGCTGCACACACACACAGGCGGTGCTGACAGGCTCTGCTCTGTTCTTACTGCTGTCTGCTGTGAAAAAAGCAGCGATAAAAGCCCAGGATCAATTACCTGAGACAACCCCAGCGTCGGCCGCACACACAATGTGCTCCATTATCCCACCGAAGCAGATCCATAGGTCGACGACGTCGACAGCCTGGTGCTCAGTGAGACGAGGTTTCACAGTGAAGTGTCAGTTGAACTCAGTTTCACTGCCTGGTGTTTGTTTACAGGTCCTCAGCTGATATTTAAGACGTGTTTTGGGGTTATATATTTGAACAGGTTTGTTTACGCCATCAAAAGCAAACACAAATAAACCCCAGTAATTTAGAGTGAGTGAACACAACAGCAGCAGCTCTGTAACAGAGTGTCACTGATGTAGGAGTGGAGGGAAGAATTCATCAGAATCTGTTTGAAATGATAGAGATGACATGGTGTAATCAGTCACTGTCGTCTTCTTCATTGTTAATAACCAGCTTGTGCTGATGACATCAGTCGTCACCTCTGCCTCGGGCTCTTAGTCAACACGTGTTCTTTTGTTTTGTTTTTTATTATCACTCCATCAGTGACTGAATCAGTGATAGGATTCGTGTTCATTGTACAGTACATTCTACGCCTACAAGTGAACTGTCTTTCATGTGGGATTTGCATAAAAATCTGGTTTCATCAGTACTAAATTTGGATGGATGGACGTTTTTTGTTTGTTTTTTTTTTCCCTCCTCTCTGTTGTAGATTTACATGCACCTGCGTTACTACAGCTCCCCAAACGAACAAAGGCACATCGTCCGGATTCTCTTCATCGTCCCGATCTACGCCTTTGACTCTTGGCTCAGCCTTCTGTTCTTCACTAACGAGGAGTACTACGTGTACTTCGACACGGTCAGAGACTGCTATGAAGGTGAGTGAGTAGAGGAGCCAACGTTAACATCAGTCTGGGTTGCCAGATCTGGTTACACAATACAAGCAACGGCCAACATTCAGCACAGATTGTAGTAATAAGGTGTGTGTGTGTGTGTGTGTGTGTGTGTGTGTGTGATTGGATGTGTGAAAACAGTACCAGGGTCTTCACAGCGTCTTCATTTACAAAGGTTGTTCTCATGTCTGTGAGGACTGTTGGGATTGCAGGGGAGGGAAATATGTTACCTAGCAACCGTGTAAAAAAAATAAAAAAAACGAACAAATCCCAGAGAAGACGGTGAACAGATGAACCTCGACCTGGTTCATCAACCAGCAGCATATTTTATGCAAAATCGTTTTCGAGATTCCTTTCTATTTCTTTCCACACAACTAAGGAATAATAACAAAAGCATTAGATCACACCCTGTTGTCTTACTGTATACTGTATATTAATAGGCTTTTACCATAGCATTCAGGTGTATCTGTATCTGTACAGGCAAAATAGAGCTAAAGAGTTAAAGTACAAGGTCTACACATCAGATGTGAGCAGCAGAGAGAAGAGAAACAAATCAGAGACACAGTCGGTGTAGAATTACATACAGACACACGACACTGATGAGAAAATAAAACGTGATATGCTGTTAATAAAATACCTGGTATTATCGTGTAAATATGGGAGTACATTTTCACACCCTGACTGTGTCACTCTGCAGCCTTTGTCATCTACAACTTCCTGAGTCTGTGTTACGAGTACCTGGGAGGAGAGAGCGCCATCATGGCCGAGATCAGAGGGAAGCCGATAGAGTACGTCCTGGTTTTACGTCTGTTGATTCCATGCACGGCAGATGTTCAGTGGTTGACCTGCTCTGACCCACGTGACTCTGCTGTTCTCTGTAGATCCAGCTGTGTCTATGGAACCTGCTGTCTGTGGGGGAGGACCTACTCCATTGGTTTTCTCAGGTTTTGCAAACAGGTACCAGACGCAGCACTGCTCCGACTCACTATTGTACATTTTGCGATATCACTCACACATCGTGTTTTGATAACATCAAAACAAAATAATTCAAGTTTTTTTTTTTTGTTTTTTTTTTCCTCAGGCAACGCTGCAGTTCTGTGTGGTCAAACCCCTGATGGCCATTATCACCGTCATCCTTCAGGCCTTTGGAAAATACAGAGACGGAGACTTTAAGTACGTTTCCACAGATATGTAGTTATTTCACATGTGTCAAAGATGAGGCTCATGGGCCGGATCTGGGCCATCAAATAATCTGAAGTCAAAACCCCCTGTGATGAGTGATTTGTTATGATCGCCCCCTGCAGGGTTGAGTGCAGCCATATATTTTTATCATAACAACATTACTAATAATGTATTTTACCCATAAACACATTTCCTGCTTTAAAAGTCACTTTACATTTAAATCTCTTACCAAAACGTCCCTCTTTTTTTTTCAGTGTGGCGAGCGGCTACTTGTACGCGACCATCATCTACAACATCTCCGTCAGTCTGTCGCTCTACGCTCTCTTCCTCTTCTACTTCGCCACCCGTGAACTGCTGGTTCCCTATAGCCCCGTTCTCAAGTTCATCATGGTCAAATCCGTCATCTTTCTCTCCTTTTGGCAAGGTGAGATGACGCAGCATAAAGTTCTCAAAATCAGACTGAGCGACTGATGTCATGTGTTTCCACTTCACCACTGCGCCTCCGTTTGATTCAGGAATGCTGCTGGCCATCCTGGAGAAGTGCGGCGCAATCCCCCGGATCAACTCTGCGGACTTCTCCGTGGGCGAGGGAACGGTTGCCGCCGGTTACCAAAACTTCATCATCTGCATCGAGATGTTCTTCGCAGCCGTCGCTCTGCGTCACGCCTTCACCTACAAAGTCTACATGGATAAGAGGCTGGACTCGTACGGTAAAAGAAAGAACAGCTAAACGTGTGGTGCAGCTGCATGTTAGAGGGTTGTAATATTTCATGTGATTTTTACAGGACTCTGGACTAAGTCTTAATTTCTACAGTTTTTATCTTTGGGTTTTCTTTTAAACCTTTAATTCCTCCTAAAAAAACAACTTTTGAATCCTTATCGTTCCTTCTGCCTTTTCTCTGCTCCTTTGTTTTCATCTCGACCTTCTTGTCTCTATTTTTGTCCTGTTTCCTCTTTTCTTCACTGTGCCGCCCTGAAAGGCTCATTTCCCATCTATGGACAGTACGGTAGGTTCAACACTGTGTGTCCGATTCATCCATCTTTATGTTCTGTTCATGTCCAACTGCTTGGTTTTCTGCCTTGTATGTTGTCATTGTGTTGTCATTGTGTTGATCCTTTCATGCATGTCAGCGTAAGTTGATTATTCCAGTTTTGGATGTTTGTTTTTTTTAGTTTGTCTCCTGTGTTTTTTTATTCTTTCCAGTCTACCTCCATTTGCCATTAAAATATAATTTTTACCATTATGTCAAATCCAGGGCTGTCAAATTATTATATTCTTTAATCTGATTAATCCAACTAGTCTCACGATAAATCAAGTAGTAATGTGAAAAAACTTTACTAAAATTTTAATCTGATTCATTTGACAAATGAACATAGTCTACACATTAATTTTGACAGCTCTAAAAATATCCCATTTCCAACTTCATTCATGATCGTTTGGACAGTGGTTGGCTCTTCATTCCTCTTGACTAACATGTGACTCTCCTCCACCTCCAGGTCGTTGTGCTCCCATGAAGAGCATCTCCAGCAGCCTGAAGGAGACCATGAATCCAGGAGACATGGTCCAGGATGCCATCCACAACTTCTCGCCGGCGTATCAGCAGTACACCCAGCAGTCCACCCTGGAGCGCGGCGGGGGTCCACCTCTGTCCCGCAGCCACAGTAACATCAGCACCCGTGGAGATAATGAGAAGACCCTCCTGCTCAGCTCCGATGACGAGTTCTGAGTCCCAGACGCACTCGGAAGGTCACACGATGAGGTTTAGGGAGGATCGGGAGACGTGACAGATTTTTTGTTAGGACCTGGTTATCGTAGATCAGATTCAGTTTTTGGTTTTAAGATCGGAAAATCTGTGAGTGTCACCGAGGCCATTAGTGACAGAATGTTTCTGTGCTGAATAACCACACCTGCTGAGCATCCTTATTATTATACACTTTAGACTCCCTGGCAAACAAACACCCATACAAACAGTGTGGTGTGTGTGACAGAATCCAAGTGCCATGGTAAACAGAGGTACACGCCTCCTCCTCCTCCTCCTCTTCTTCCTCACTTTAGTTTCTATATCGACTGCTCTTCATCAGCTTTCTGCCAACTCTGTCGCCTATCGAACCGTTGCCAAATAGAGGGAGCAGCGACCCCTGCACTTCACTTAGTGAGGCACACTATATTTAGAGACTTAGAGAACACAAGGGAGCCTTCCTTTTCGCTGTGCTTCAGTTTAATGTATAACAATCAAATTGCAAATATTTTTTTATTTAAATGCCGTATGACCTTGGAGGTTGAACTCATTTAGTCGGAGTGGAAATGTCTTATTTCGTAATTATTACAAATATATGAATTGTATGTTTTGTGAATTAGTATGTATAAGTGGATAACACGTGTTTTGGTTTGTGTGTGTGTGAGTGTGTGAGACCGCTGCTGTCGGCCTGTCTCAGGCTCTCTGCTTGACTTTACTGTTTGTGGGAAACTAAAAGAACATCCGTGGGACAGATTTTAGTTCCGTCTTTGGGACTGGAGGAAGGACAGTGTCCACTCAGATTACAGATTACAGATTACTGCAGGAGCAAAGCTTCACAGAGAAGCGGCCCGGCTGAGTTGTGCTGTGGATTATAAACCTAAATTAGGGACGTTATAAGAAACACAGATTAGACCCGGCCTGTGCTGACACTGCCTTCAAAAGCATTGAGGTGTTTGGACCTGGGACAGAAGTAAAAAAACAAAACAAACATTTATTAAACTAAAACTGTCCCAGAAAAAGTACATGGGCATTAACAACACAATGAAGGGAACTTCACATTTTAATGTTTTTAAAGGGCACTACTGTTACAAAATGTTATCACTTTATATTTAATTTTCTTTTTTTTTTCTCGCAGCGTTGAAGTTGTCCGTAGTCGCCGGTTGTAAATATTTGACTTTCTCTTGTTGTGCTTTTGTTGAAAGCAGAATCCAAACAAATGGACTTCCTTTTATTGACCTCAGGTAAAGGGACGCTAGAAAACCAAGTACAATACGATGAAGAACATTTTTCCTCCTGAGTAATGAATGTAGTGAGATGAAACACGTCCTTTCCTACACTTTACAATTAAGTGAGATATTCACTTTTTCTATCTCTACTTTTTGTCAAACATACTGATGTGAAGATAAGATCTGAAGCTTCTTGACTCTCAGATGATAGTGAAGATTATGGCAGTTCATGAGTTGAATGCCGGGATGTGAAAAATGAAATAAATATATGATCCAGAAATGTTTATTACATAAGTGAAAGAAAGTTGCACATTAAGTAAAACTAAACACTGAACGGCCAATATGATGATGACTGAAATGACAAGGCCTGGTACAGGGCTTTGTTTTGAAATATTTTAGTGCTCTAATGTTTATTTTGTTTCGATTTCATGTATATTCTTGTTCTGTTCTATACTTTTGCTTTGTATATTGGTAAAATGTCATGCTTTGATGCTATATTGTTTCTGTCAGTGTTGAAATTAAAATAAAACGAGAATGGAAGAACAAACCGTTCTCACTGCATTCACTACCAGTAAAGATCAGGTGACGACGATACAAGACCGGACAGAAATCACTGACATGAATTACTCTTTTTAAGATACAAGACCGGACAGAAATCACTGACGTGAATTACTCTTTTTAAAAACTAAAACATGAACCCTGGACCAGCTACAGACACAGTGGCTCCCCCTAGTCGGGGAAGAAGGAAAAACAGGCTAGGTCGTAGACAAATGTGTCTCAGTATAAATGTTTTTTTTTACAACGGCTCACTCTTTTAGAGAGAAAATAAGATTTATTTTATTTCACGGTGACACATGAGCTGGCGTGATTTTATTGTGAAAGTATTTCAAACCCGTGTCACAAAAACACTTAACCGATAAAGTCTGGTTAAAAAGGCTAAAAGTCTGTTAGAAAGTTAAAGCGAAGAAAAACCACGATTTTTCTTTATTTCAAAGTTGTTGAGTAGAAATCGTGGCACAAAAAAGTCCGTCAAAACATTGAAAATGTCAGCCATGTTTGCGGGCGTGTCAGTCATTGTTTTTAGCCAATCAGAGCAGCGCAATTCCCCGGATGAGCGTTGTGACAATAACACAGTCCATGTGTCTGAGAGGTTCAGACGGACACAGAGACCGTGGTCATGACAGAGGGTAAGTGTGTCTGAGAGGTTCAGACGGAGACAGAGATCGTGGTCGTGACAGAAGGTAAGCTGTTAGCATGTTAGCTAAGCTAAAGATAACAGTATCGATAAAATGTGTTTAAATTCGTGTGTTATACAGAGACAACACTAACTTTGGCGGTATCTGCTATTGTTTCCGGAAGCCCTCGGTTCTCTCCCAGCACAGGTGGCCCACCGCCGGGTAAAAAGTTTGGGAATCCTGGGATTCATTTGGAATAAAGAATGACCCGTTGTCTAACATAGTTCTCAAACTATGGTACGCATAACATTGTAGTAGGGAGATCTATCTAAAACTTTCTTTCACAGACTGGTTTATAAATATAATGCACTCAATGATTCGCTTTTGTAAATCAGATGGAAGAAAAAAGTTACATAAAGCGCAGCAGGGGGCGTATGTTTTTTGTTTGGTGCTAAAATCCCAATTTTGAAAAGTGACAAAAAACTGCAGTACTGCTAGTTTTCAGACAATGAGATTTGTGTTTGAGTAAAAAGAGCAGGAGGTCACCAAGAAAAAAAAAAACTTTATTACCCAGTTGAAATAGTTTACCAGTGTTATGTTCTTTTCACGTTGAACAAGTCAAATGTACACAACAGAACTGCCATCATTTGTATTTACAGAGCAGTCGTACTAAGAGAGGAGTGCAGCTGAAGGTGGACGTGGAGACGGTGGAGATGAGAACTGACGGCGTGGCCGACATGCATCGCACGCTGTCAGAAACGAGTCGGACGCGTTGAAGACGCACTGAGCAGCTCCGTTTGATTCTATAATCCTAACTTAAATCACACGCTGTAGAGATGATCAGACATTTAACTGAATATATCATAGGAGCTTCGTGTCTAAGGATAAGGAACAAGGTCTAAGACGAAGAATGGATGAAAGGTTCAAATCATCCGTTGCTAAAATGGAATCACAACTGCGAAAAATAGGCACAAATGGCGACATAACAAAACGCTGCCCACAATCATTCTGTGCAAGTCAAGAGACGCATCTGTCAAACATTCAAGAGGTGTTTACACGTTCTCATCGTCCTCTACCAACGTGCTGCCGTTTGTAAATCATCATCGCCCCAATTGTCAGCGTGTGCACAGGTGACAGTTAACAGAACGAACAATGGAACTGGAAAAAGAACCTAAAGAAACAAACGCCAAAAACGAAAAAAAAAAAAAAAAAAAATCAAACAATCACTCATTACCTTTTTTCCTCTCTTCATTTTTCAGTGTGTTAAAAAAAGGAATCAAGACTCGGACGCTGCGGGGAGAGCAGGTGCATGATTGGTTTTAAAGCAGCCACATGGGGTCTAGTCTCATTTGGAGCAAAGCGTAACGAACATTACACGGACGGAGCGTGGGTGCCGTAAATAAAGTGAGTCAAGAGCGAGATCGGTCAGAGACGACGTACTGGGATTACCAAGGAGAAGTGTCCTATGTGGTGAGTCTTTTAGGAGAAAAAGAAGCAGAAGTGTGAAGGCAGAGTCTGTCTGGTGCTGTTTGGTTTGGTCTCTCAGTGCTATAGACTCCCCCATGTGTCCGGAGATGGAAACTCTTCTACGCTGCCGCTCTCAGTGCGCTCCTGTTCTCCCATGGTGAAGGTTAGTGTGTACTGAAGCTGCACCTTCTCCTGCAGAACACACACACAGTGGACGTGGATTAGAAAAACCTGGCTGCAGAGAAAAACTTTGACTTTTTTTTTTAGTGTTTTATATACAGAAGTGCCTTGGCAAAAAAAAAAGAAAACTAGTAAAATATATAATTTACATTTATATAGTTTAGAACCAAATCTGATGTGTGACTTCCATCTATCACATGGTATAAAAGCAGACCGTGGTTGGAGGGAGTTCTACCTTGTTAGGGTTTGCGAGCAGCAGGATCTGTGTGATGGCAGCAGGAGGAAGGATGGGGTTGAAGGCTGAGAGCTGAGTTCCTGACGGAGGCTGTAGCTTCACTGCCATAGACTGGAGACAATGAATGGAAAGACAATCGTTTCAGGATTGTGATGTAATTGTAACTTCTGAGACTACTTTCACCAGGAGACACTTCTCAGCGCTGACCTTTGGAGCTGTGGTCTGGAAGTTTATGTTCGAGACGGGGACGGGGGCGGAGGACAGCATGGAGATGATCACCACCAGGACGTCGGGGCGGGACGGAGGCGAGTCCCGTGCAAAATGAAAGAGAACCCGCAGACTGTGTTTGTCAAACACAGTGACAGGTAAAAGATTACCTGTGACGATGCGACAGGAACGAGGCAGAAAGGAGATTAATGACCGTTTTTTTTTTTAAAGGCGGCTAAAGTTTGAGCTCTCCGATGTTTACTTACTAGGTTTAATGGATTCTAATGGTATAAAAACATCTGTCAGTGAGACTTCAGTCGGAGCCGTCTCAGGGTGAGTGTGGCTCACGTCCAGCAGCGTGGCACCGAGGCCGGGCTGAGAGTTGAGTTGAGGAGCTGCTGGTTCAGAAGAAAAAGTTGGGATAGGGTTTGGTGTAATGTGGGAGCTGGTCTTGCTCTGGAGATCTCTCAGTGTTGGTTTGGACTGATGCTTGTCCCTGTGAAGTACACACGTCAGTGAAGAAACTGGTCTACATTACATGGGATTTATAATTTTATCTGAGGATGAAAAAGCACAATTTACTATGTTTATCTTCATCTGCTCTTATTACTCTTCTTTTCCCCACAAATGTTCTGACTTATATCATACTGTACTATATTTATGTAGTTTCCATCACTTTGTTAAATTCAGTACCATTTGACCTGAAGGCCCTCTGGTGGCAGGGACTGCTGCAGCAGCGTCTTTCCCAGCAGGTCCAGCTCATCCAGGGCAGAGTTCCCAGGAGTGGAGCCAGAGGAGAGGGGCTGTGACAGAGAGGGAGGGTCTGGACTCAGGAGGAGACTTGGTGCCGCTGCGACGTCTGCATCTATGCTTTCAGAGGACTGATGTGGAAGACACAGGTAAAACTGTTGGTCACATTGCACTGAAAATTCCTGAATTCTTACATTATGAATTACTGAATTGATATGGATTCTTCATCATCATCAACTAATATTTTGTTATTATAAAAGAGCAACAGTCCATTCTCAGTCATCAGTGAATCACTCACCTGAAAAGAGTCCCAGGCTGTGGAATCTTCCGGCTGTGAGTGGGGGTTGGAGGTGTGTGTCCCCTCACTTAAACCTGCCAGGGTCACAAAGATAAACAGGATTCTATGGATAAAGGTTTAAATAAGCAGAGAACGGCCTTGATAAAATGCTCTAAAACTCTCTTACCCAGTGACATTAGCTCATCATCAAGGAGACTGATCCCCATCTCATGTGAGGCGGCGTGGTCTGTCGGGGTGGGGAATTCTGGGAAGGACGGGGGAGACTGAGGTGACGTGTCCAGTCCTGACAGGTCGAGCAGTGCTGTTCCCATGAACCAGATGGAGACAGGTCAATTCAGCAGGGTTAAAAAAAAAAAAAAAGAGGAAGAGGAAGCTTCTAATCTCGTATCTTGTAAAAACATATTTAGAAGTGCACCGACCAGTTTGTTTCTGCGCGTTGACTGCATTGGTGCCGTTCACGATCTCCCCCTTCACCTGCTGTTTGTAGAGGTTGATGACGTGGGTCAGGCTGTCGTTTTACTGCAGGATCTCCGCTGTGAAAAGTCACAGGAGAAACATTGTTTACAGTTTTCATTCTGTCTTGCTCAGATGCACAGCCTTGATCCTAATGTCAGTTACTGAAAGACAAAAAAAAAAAAAACCCCACCTAAAGCCTCGTCGTTGTCCTCCGTATCACTTGCCAGTCTGAACAGAGTGGGTCTCAGTTTCTCACAGCGTTAAAACAGATCCTGAGCACAAAAAAAAAAAAACCATGCATGACTAACAATTTAGGGCTTGTTTGACTATTTTTTCCTGTGAATACCCTTGTCTTTCAGATCACCTGTAGCAGCTCGGCGTTGCTCTGGTCGCTGGCATTGCTGTCCCACTCCTGCAGCAGCTGAGTCAGCAGGGAGACGCTCTCCTTCACCTCCTGAATGGCGTTCACTCTTTTGGACACCTTCTCTGCTCGTCTTTGGTCCTACAAACAGGTGACGTGCACGTTTAATAACTGCTGACCTGCACAGGCTGTGATTGGTCAGACTTATGGTCAAGACTGCCATAAAAATGCAGAGTCTGTGAAGTGAAGTCATAGTTTTTCTCTCTGTGCCTTAAATCAGGTCAAACACACACGCAGTGAAAACCTGCTCAATCACTTTGACACCAATACCACTCCACCACCCCCCCGCCCCCTCACCCCCTCGGGGGGGCGGTCGACCCATTTACTCATTAAGTTAATGTTTTTGTCGCGAGTGCACAGCTCTGATAGTCTCCTCCTGTTCTCCTCCGACTTCACAGTTGTCCTGTGGTTAATGTGCAACACAAACGTGCCATATAACAAAAGGTGGGAAAAGTGGAGCAAGCTTCACCTCTTGGACCATTTCCTTGATAAGATTGTTG